ATTATTTTACGACCGACTTATAACCAATAATGTGACCGTTGAAACCAAACTAATTTTATCATTTAACCGATTCCCATTTTGAGAGAAAATAGTCACCGGTTACTCTCAACGAATTTCTAGTAATATAATATTATTGAGTGCGAGAGTATTATTTTTTTCTCTATGATTATATATTATTGCGGGGAAACTAACGTGTCTATAACTCGATATCCATATAACAATAAGAACACTATAAAAAAATAGTTCGGCCTATCCGGCTACGACGATGACGTAATCAAATCCAAGGATTTTATTGCCCGACACCGGTAAAACGAGTAATACCTGCTGCACAGATGACGGTTCAATAAAATATTATACAAGTTGCGGAAAGTCTTTTGAAAATAATTTTCCTAGATTACACTCGTTCTTCATGTAAATTAAAGGGTGCAAATTTGACGCCTGTGTCTATCGTTTTAGATTCTGAGGAGTAGAGCGAAGAGCTTATGGTTTTACAAAGATAATTTTTTTTTTTCTGTGGGTAACTTTTCTACCAGAAATCTCTCTCCGATTTTTAAGTGTTGCACTTTTTCTGAAGCAAAATCGAAATAAAAAAGTATTTTAGGAGGTAATTTTTCGATTTTCTTAGAAGTTTTCTCAATAAATGGAAAAAGACGGAGGAAAAACAGAAAAATGTACGAAATATATTAGTAAAATATTACGGTCTTTTTTTTTTTTTACTCTGTAGTCACCTTTGCTTAATATTGGTGCTTATAGCTTATTAGAAAACTATACACTTGGCCAACAAATACTCATCAAATCCGCTCTTCTCTTAGAATGGGTACTGACAATTAAAACCGCTTCATAGGAGAGAAAACAGAAAACAAAAGGTCTACCAGATAACTGAATCGATTTGTTTTCTCGTAATTAAAATAATTTCACCGATAAACCAAACTAGGTATTTCAGTGAGTATAGTCTGATGTAATTCGTAGTGCATTGGAGCTAGGCCAATACAGAAAGGGGGTCTCTGATTCAAAATTGACTCAAGGGTCCTTTCAAGTCTCCTCTACGGTCGCCATCGAGGGATCCAGTCACTAGCCCGCTTCATTCGCGTTAAAAAGAATTATAACATTCCATCATTCCAACTAGAGGTTGGAAAGTTCGAGCATGATCAAACCGTACAAATAACCGCGTGATGCCGTCGTTCCGTGTTGAAAGATTTAAGCAGAAAAGTATCCAGCGTAGATAAGTACGTACCGTCATCGTATAAGGCCACGGGTCGGCCGTCCGTTATTTCGGAATCATATAGCCGCTGTCGCCAGTGATAGCAGGTCTATAATTGCCTTTACTGTAACGGCTAGCTATCGTCGATTGTTATTCTTGTTTATCACGTAAATTATTCCTATTTTCCTATTTCACATTATTTTGAGTACCACTTGTTTAACTCCTCATCGCCCGTCTAAATAGTTATACGTCCTACGACACCGAAAGTTGCCTAGCAGCCGGGCCAAACACCAACCGTAGTATCCAAAGGTTCGACGTTAATCCTACTGATCATATCAGACATATCTTCAATTAGAAGTCGAACAAGATTGGGTTTGTTTATGTGACCATCTGATGGATATCTCTTGTGCCATAATCTTGCAATTTCAGTGGTTGCTATGTTGGCATCTGATTATTCATTTTCTAAAATTATTTGATATCGCTTGTCTTTCCTTGTTCTTTCTACGATCAAGTCAGTGGATTTGGAGACTCTTACCTTCTAAATGCGGAATGTAATTATTAATCCATTCACGACTAGACGTTTAACCGACATTAGATTGCGTGTGAGATTTGGGAAACATAGTAAATTCGATACTGTTATAAGATTAATGGGTCATACTAAAACTATTTTCCGTACATGTGTGGTTGAGGTATTGCACCTTCCTTCGCCGTTGTTACCATAATTGACTAATATAATACGGTCAAGTCATTAAACATAATTCTCTCATTTGTCATGTAATCCGAAGCACCAGAAACAATGAGCCACATCATAATAATGTTCTATAGGTGTTGGTATATTTCTCATAGGTGGTAAAAGGACGCTCACTATTTTCACATTCCTTTGTTTCTGAGACGTCATTTCAATATTTGCTAAGGTAGGGTATAATAAAGACCGACTCAAGCAGTATAAAATTAGATTTTTTTTCTCTATAATTGATTTACAAGCCATTGAGGCCTTTTGTAATTTCTATTAAATTCCTACATTTATTCAATTTTCATTTCCCAATAAATGAATGAGACACATGAAAAATATCGTGAAAAACACAGCCCAATTGAGAAATTGATAAAATATTAACAAATATTACTAAGGAAAATATATAAAACATAATATGCAATTATTTTACCATACTATGACAAACATATTGTTGACAAAGCAACAGTATTAACCAAACTCTGCTTACATTCATTTTTCGTTATCAACGGTTAATTGTTGCATACAGATATATATATATTTCCCCTCAAGAGCTAATTTAAAAACCAGAGTTGAGTATGGTCCTCACGATTCATAGCAGATTTAGTTCTTCAGGTACGATTTCAATTCAGTATTTCCAGTATTAGTTAAAGATATCTCCATTGAACCGAGGAATTTTATATTATTCTTCTTCAATATTACTAAAGAATAAAACAGTTACCGACTGGTAATAAAAAAAATGATAGTAGGTAATTCGTGCAAGCGGTGCATGGTGAATAATTTAAAAACATTTTTTAAATATAAAACAATTTTTCGTTATTTTACAAATATTAAATATTTGTACCGTATATATTTATTTACACCGTCCGATCGGATCAGAAAAGAAAAAATTAATAAACTTAAGGTCCCGCAAACTGGATCGGACCGAAATGGAACGAAATTGTTTGTCGACAATATTTTAACGGATTCCGAAGCATTCCGATCGCAACCGCATGCGCACTGACACAAATATACTTACTTACTTTTGGTTATCATCGTTTTGTACTTAGTAGTTGTGTACACAATTAAAAGTCTGAAACAATAAATCTTTTTTATTATAAACATTTTAATATTTTTTCGATAAAAAGAACTTTGACACGAACAATAAAAATATATCAGATGAATATATTATTTGTGAAGTGCAGAAATATTCATTTACATAATTATAAAAATTAATATTTTTGTAAATCGTATACAAAAATTACTCGTTACATTAATATTACAGTTTTTCACGTGCATATTTTATTTTTTTAATTGAATAGTAATAAATTAAAATAAAAAAAATATCCTTAAATTCAAATTAAAAATATTTATTATTAAATTATAATCAATTAAACATTATCTTCAGAAACACTGACCCCACNGTTGTGTACACAATTAAAAGTCTGAAACAATAAATCTTTTTTATTATAAACATTTTAATATTTTTTCGATAAAAAGAACTTTGACACGAACAATAAAAATATATCAGATGAATATATTATTTGTGAAGTGCAGAAATATTCATTTACATAATTATAAAAATTAATATTTTTGTAAATCGTATACAAAAATTACTCGTTACATTAATATTACAGTTTTTCACGTGCATATTTTATTTTTTTAATTGAATAGTAATAAATTAAAATAAAAAAAATATCCTTAAATTCAAATTAAAAATATTTATTATTAAATTATAATCAATTAAACATTATCTTCAGAAACACTGACCCCACCATTATTGCTAACAGTTCGTTTGCTGGTATACATTTTCGAAAGTTTGTGCTTGTTTTTTGTAAATCGGGTTTTATATGCTCTAAAAATTGACAACATTTTTTGTAATTCGTCCGAAAATATTAAAAACAATTTTTATTGTCCTGTTTTAAATGCGGGAATAGCGTACAGAACTCTCCTTCTTTTTTCCTTGCCATATGCATGCTACGAACCCACTGTCTTTTTATTGTATATATTTCTTTTTCTTCAGCTTCCGACAAAAGAGCTAGGATGAGTATCGTGTCTTCTTCGTCACTACTTATATCATTTATTATATTATATCAGGGGTTGGCAACTTGATACGTGAAACAAAAAGAAGCGGTACACATATTGTAACGAGCCGGCGATTTGCCGTCGTTGCATAAAATTTAACACATTTTTTTAATATAAAACAATTTTCTTTATTTTACAAATATTAAATATTAATTTACATATAATAGTTTATTTTAAGTAGGTTTGGTATATGTGCGGAATACAAGAGTTTTTAAATGGTGAACGCGTAGAGTGTTACAATTAAACCGTGCAACATGATATAACAAAAAAAAATGAAAACCTAATACAAGAGTATTAGTAGTAATATGATTACAAACAAGAATAACAAGAAGTGTTTGGTAAATAGAATAGCCAAACACGTCTGGTCGGATGATTAAGTACGGAACGTAGGAGTGTAAGTTTAAATATGGTTGATTTTTGGATGGTTTAAGATGTACTGATNTGGCGAATCTCGTTACCGATATATCGGGGATTGCTCACCTTATAGCGTAAGGAATATCACGTCGGAGACGTTTAACACTTCAATTATGCGTCTGAATCGCCACTTGAATTGGGGTACCGAGCTGGCCTGGATCGTGACCGTTTCATTGAATTGAACGTTGGAGTTTCGGGAAAACCGGGAGTAGCTTAGTAATTAATGAGAGACGACAGAAGACCGAACAATAACAGAATAATTTTAATTTTATACATACATTTATTTTAAAAATAAGAGAGATTAATAATATCAACAGAGATAAAGCCCAATTTAAAATTTTTAATGTTGTGAAACCAACTACACCTAAGCCTTGGACAAGATTACATGGATTCAAGACTGGTTTTTGGAAACGGAATGCTGAATTTAAGATTGCGACACGGAATCTGACAAGTTTGTATAAAACAGGTGCAAGTCAAAATTTAGTCGATGTCCTTAACACCTACAACATTAAAGTAGCGGCCATACAAGAAATAAGATGGTTGGGAGTAGGACAACTAACGATAGGAGAGTACGCAATTTTCTTCTCAGGAATGGACAATACGCATCACTTCGGTAGCGGTTTTGCAGTTCATAGGATATTTGAACCGTGCATTAAAGAATTTAATCCAGTATCCGAACGGATATCGACATTAACCATCAACACTAGCCCAATTAATATTTGTTTAATAAATGGTCATGCACCAACAGAAGTAAAAGATGACAATGCGAAAGACATCTTCTACGACGAACTGACTAAAACATATGAGAGTATCACTGGGAACGTGATAAAGATTGTATTAGGTGACTTCAATGCAAAATGTGGACGGGAACCACAGTACTTCCCTTGTATAGGGAGAAATGACTAAAGAAGTTTTCATCCGGGAACGTAAAATCTGCAAAGACACCCTTCAAAGGGAAAAAAGAAAATTCTTTAGTAAGATACTTCAAATCGCAGAGAAGGACCATACACAAGGGAGAACTAGAAGTTTTTTTAGAGTCGTTAAACAGTATAAGCAATTCAACCCTATATGGATTGCAATCAGAGACCAAGACGGACAAATGTTAATGGAGCCAGAGTCAAGAGCTGAGAGGTGAAAAGGATATTTTGAAGNGGAAAGTTTGCATAGTAACAGCAACGACAATGGTCAACGATTGATAGCGTTTGCAATATCAAATGGGTTGACTGTTAGTAGTACCACGTTCCCACATAAAAATATTCATAAAGTCACGTGGAGATCACCGGATGCCAAAACCCTGAACCAAATAGATCACGTCCTCATACAAACTAGATATCGTAGTACCATTCACGACGTAAGAAGTCATAGAGGCGCCGATTGTGACACGGATCACTACTTGGTGATCGCCAAACTTAGATCAAAGCTAAAAAGCCAATCGAGATTAAAACAAGGCAAAAGAGCTAAATTGAACCTAGAGTTACTTAAAGATGAAAACGTCAGAAAAAACTATGAAAACGAAGTCATGAAGAATCTTAAAGAGAATAATGTACAAATGGACGTAGACCTGGATTGGGAAAAAGTGAGTAATGCTGTCAAAAAAGCAGCGGCCACTAGCATTGGTGAGCTAAAGAGGTCAAAAAATACATTGTATAATGATGTATGTAGAATTGCTGTAGACAAACGCCGTAAAGCGAGAGATGACTTTATTAAGCACAACTCTCAAATAACTAAAGAAGTTTTCATCCGAGAACGTAAAATCTACAAAGACACCCTTCAAAGGGAAAAAAATAACATTTTTAGCAACATGCTTCAAATCGCAGAGAAGGACCATACACAAGGGAGAACTATAAGTTTTTTTAGAGTCGTTAAACAGTATAAGCAATTCAACCCTACATGGATTGCAATCAGAGACCAAGACGGACAAATGTTAATGGAGCCAGAGTCAAGAGCTGAGAGATGGAAAGGATATTTTGAAGAACTACTAAATGGTAGGATGTCAGTCCAGCCCGTATCACATACCGAAAATGAAAGAGCGGAGCCTTACGTAGAAGATATTAGTCTAAAAGAAGTAACAATTGCAATAAGTGGCCTAAAGAATTGGAAAGCACCTGGTATCGATGATTTTCCAACAGAACTCATAAAATATGGAGGTAAGGAGTTACATGTAGTAATCCACAGACTGTGCCAGCTAATATGGATGAAAGAACGGCTACCGGATAGCTGGAATTTAAACATACACTCCTGCGTTCCGTAACTAATCGTCCGATAAGATATGTAGTGCCATACCATTTACCAAACCCCTCTTTTTTTGGTTAAAATGCAACGCATTTATTTCAGGTATTTATACGCAGCCCAACAGACAGCAGAAAAGAGAACTAAATTAATTACTTGTTTTACAATTTTCTTATTGTCAGTGCCGGGTTTGAGTTCTGTGTTCTCTTGAGTGTTCTTTAAAGAAACAGGATCTGCGAAGGTTGTGATTTCGTTGGCGGTTTTAGGTTCTTTGTTCTCCGAAACGGTTTTTTCAGAGGCGGTTTCTGGGATAAAGGTATTTTCAGTGTCGGTTTCGTGTTCTATAACACTACCGGTAGCGGTTTTTTCACAGGCGGTTTCTGAGCAGGTAGTATTTTCTGTGTCAGTTTCGGGTTTTATAATATTACCGGTAGCGGTTTTTTCAGAGGCGTGTTCCGGGATGGACTCGAATTCAAAGGCGGTATCTGGTTGTCTTATGTGCGTAATTTCGGTAGACATTACCGTATTTTTTGTGACTTCGGCGGCGTGGCCGAAGTCTAAATCCATGATAGCGGAAATCGAGTAATCCGGTTTTTTAAGGATGGACGTGTTGACCGATTTTTCGGCGCCAGTGATAGCCTGACTGTCACCACCACCGAATGTTGTTAGTGGCGTCTTTTTTCACAGGCGGTTTCTGAGCAGGTAGTATTTTCTGTGTCAGTTTCGGGTTTTTTAATATTACCGGTAGCGGTTTTTTCAGAGGCGTGTTCCGGGATGGAAGTATCTTCAGTGACGTTGGCGATTTCTATAACATTACCGGTTGCGATATTTGCAGAGGTGGGTTCTGAGCAGGTAGTATTTTCTGTGTCGGTTTCGTGTTCTATAACACTACCGGTAGCGGTTTTTTCACAGGCGGTTTCTGAGCAGGTAGTATTTTCTGTGTCAGTTTCGGGTTTTTTCAGAGGCGTGTTCCGGGATGGACTCGAATTCAAAGGCGGTATCTTGTTGTCTTATGTGCGTAATTCCGGTAGACATTACCGTATTTTTTGTGACTTCGGCGGCGTGGCCGAAGTCTAAATCCATGATAGTGGAAATCGAGTAATCCGGTTTTTTAAGGATGGACGTGTTGACCGATTTTTCGGCGCCAGTGATAGCCTGACTGTCACCACCACCGAATGTTGTTAGTGGCGTCTGGTTGTAGGTGACTGGTCCTTCGGGAATATATTGTGTTAAGGACACCACAATGGCGTAACCCAACATCCTTTCTGGACGGTGCTCCAAGAGGAAATTTTGCGTAAAACGCTCACCGGTGACCATAACCATCACGCCGCCAGACGATCCGCCACAGGACATCGGAATCATCGATTTAACTATATAGTCGCACGCGGACATAGGTCGNTTAGTCCTCGGCAACGAGTTTAATTTAGCCATCGTAACGGCTCTTCTCTCGCGTGTCGGATCTGCAACACCACTGCTGTTTTCCATTTCGGATGCAAATNTGGTGAAGTACGCATCATGGAATAATACAGTTCTGCGAATTCGCAGCCGATATCAGCCGCGTACTTATTTCTCGGCAACGAGTTTAACTTAGCCATCGCAACGGCTCTGCTCTCGCGTGTCGGATCTGCAACACCACTGCTGTTTTCCATTTCGAATGCAAATACAAACAACAAGCGAATGCGAAAGAAAAATTGAAACTTTTAAAAATAATTAATTATTTTTTCAGTCTCGCAATAGTGCTTGTTAATAGTGAGTAATATAATTTGGTTTGCGCGGATACTACAAAACTATTACAACACGGTTGTTGTTGGTTAGTAACGAAAATATTAAGAGCAGTTTTTTTTTTGTGTTTTGGCCACGTATGTAAAGGGCACATAGTCTTTTCGGCTTGAAATTACATTGAGTGGTAATTTGCAGGCCTTAAGATACATCCGATTTCAGGGGACACACTTTTTAATTGAAATGTTACCTTTAACAACTCCTAAACAAAACAAAAATCCTGATGCAGGGAGAGCTAAGAATTATGGTACCATTTATAATTATTTTATTATATAATTATCATGTAATTATTGTAATAACGATTATTAAATTATATATAACAAAATATTTATTAAAGTTTGAAAAGTCCCTTTTTTTTTCTCTTTCGAATTTTGTAGAATAATCTCGACATTCCTATGCATACCCGTCAATGCAATTTACTTTAAACTTAACTTGAGACTTTGAGAGGATGTTCATGAACGCAATTATGTGTTTTGTTTGGTAATTGGCGTCCAAGACTTCAGTTTTTCAATTACTACCCAAGCAACAGCCCCAGGACGTTTCCGCTCAAATCGCTCATAAATATCGTAAAATAATTAGTTCTGATTTCGCTAAAAACATTTTTGTGTTATTACACAAAAACTAAAAAAAAGTTCGAAAAATCAATTTAGATTTACTTAGATTTCACCAAAATATTAAGCTCTAAATTATTACCATTTCTGAAAATAAAAATTTCAAAAATGTAAATTTTCGGTTTTTTAAACTTAAAACACGATTTTTAGAAAAATCGAGCATTTTGAAGTTTATTACCAAATTTATATTTTTTGAAAGTACCATCAAATTAAGCACGCAAAAACACACATTTTGAAAAAAAAATTCCAAAAAGTCGCTTAGGAACTAAATTGTGTTTATGCCACACAAAATGAATACAACTAAAAATTCGTGGACGTATAATATCTATAACTGCGATTTTGGTTAAAGTTTGTGATTTTTGTAGAAAATAAATAACGAGGAATGTGTTATCAGTTTATATTGAAATAATGTATTTGTGTTCATATTCCAATACGTTTGTTATTTCTATAATTAAAACTAAAAACACGCGGTAGAATTTCGGACACACGTTTGTAATTCGGGGGACACAATTCGATTTTCGGCGGACACAGTGTTTTAAGCCCCGGAAGTTTGTGCTGTTCATAGTGCACGAGAATAGTTTTATCCGCATTCGTTTCTTGTCGGAACCTAACAGGCCCGCCCTAACAAACCGCCTGCCATGTTTACCACCACCGGCACGGTGAGTGGGGGCACATGGCCAGGTTCGTGTTTGTGTAGGGTACAAGGATACATTTTTGTTATCGCCGTATTTAAAAATAAAATTATCGGGAAAATGCGTTTGCGCGAGTGCGTGACCGTCGCAGGTACTCAGAACTCGGATGCCCGCTGATTACAACAGTCTGCTGTCCACACTCTACGCTGCTCGTGTAGCCGCTGTCAATTGTACGGCGTTTGCAGAGCATTGTAGAGCATTTTCGAAGTTGCCCAGAATAATAATAAAAATAGATCTTCGCAAACTCGAGAAAACTCTTGTCATCGTCAATGATGTCGTCTACAGAAAATGATATTCTACGAAAACTGAAGCTTTGGCAATACCTTCGAAGCGTTTGCTGCACAAAAAGCAAGGGAAAACACTTTTGCACAAGGTACGTACTTGATTTTATTTCCGGACGGATGTTTTATGATTAAAAAAAAATAATAATAATACGTTTTTTAACGTCTTTATCGTACTCGGATGAAAAGGTCAAAATGTGTTTTATTACGCGTGTTTCGTGTTGTTTTTTAAAAAGTCGTTTTCACCGGCGGTGTACGCCCCGCAACTATATATTTGCCGCCCCCCCAGCACGGTCTGAATCCCCGGGTTTGCGCACCGCCCTCATTTTCGATTGCTGTAATCGCCGTTGGTCTCGGTAATCTGGCCGTTACTACCAGCGGACAGTGTGCACAAAGCCCGCGACCGTAAAACCACGACGCCCGGCGATTTTGCGCGCGCGTTCGTCCCTTCCGGCGGCCCGGTCGCGTGCGAAAACCACTGCAACGTGGCCGACACGCGCCACTCGGTTAGGTTACTTACCTCATATGTGCGCGGTGCGATTTTCGACGCGAGCGCGTCGCGTACGGATGCCCGGTGTCCGGTGCGAATACGTGGCGAATTCACTGTCGCGGGTAGCGGTTGTATGCGCGGAATCGATAGAAAAAAAAAAAAAAAAATGTACGTCGAGTTGTATTCGGACGTCGGGTACCGGTGGAACAAAAGCGATTGTAGCGGCCGATTGAAAGCTAAAACGTAAATCGATAAATCGCATGGTGAAACCCCTCGGGTGTCGGTGACAACCAGTCGCCCCGCTGGACAAAAACCGCGATACATTACCGTCCGTTTGATACCGAGCGAATGGGTGGTCATTGTTATTATTTTATTTTCTCGCCGATGGCTTCGGGCGTTTGAACGGCGGTCGCGGAAATGACGCCGCGATTGCGTTTTATCGAACGGACGGTCAAACGTGCGCACCCGAGGTTTTTTTTCCCGAATCCGGTCGGTTTACACATTTTTCAGAAATTCCAAGGCTGTCGGCGGTGCAACGGCAACGTGACATTAAACGCGGCCACGGTGTGGGTGGGACCATCGGTTACGGGACACCGCGGTATTTTCGTGATCGAACGCGCGCGATCGTAATCGCGAAAAGCCCCGCCCGCGCGTTTTTCATTGACGAAATATCGCGACAATGCTACTCGCGATGTCCCGGTGTGTTTGAGAGATTTGTGTCACGGAAGAAGTGGTCTCCGTACCGTTTTTGGGTCGCGTAAGCATTTAAAATCGGGCCGCGATTTCGGTGTGCCTTTTTAAAATTTATAAAACCATGTAGGGCGAAAAATAATAGTCGTTCAATTATCAAAGCCGGAAAGCTCGACGAACGAAAACGCAGTTTAACGACAATTTTACGGTGCATTATAATTTTTGTCTATTAACGTAACTATTGTGTAATGGATACCGAATCGCGGTGAAATGTTTCATATTTTTTTTTACACCGGTGCGGTTCTGCGTGTTAAGATGTTGGTAACATTCGATATTACTGAATGCAATAATTTACGAAATAAACTGTGCGGTTAATAGAAACATCATAACACTGTTATCGTCCGAGTAATCTGCGAATCCCGTAATCTGCGGGCATTGCCGATGTCGTTGCCCGTGTTCGATGGTGATAAATGTCAGTCGCCGTTATTATTCCGGTCGCATTTGCTACTAAAACGCAATTTTCATTTATTCGGTTTCTAATAGTACCGCTGCCACAAAGCATCAACAATCAATTTTAGCCGGTTTTTTCGCAAAGTTTACGTGGGTCGCGAAAAATGTAGGCCTACAAAAACCGGGTCGCGGGTACAAAAATGTCGAAGACCACTGGTCATAAACCAGTATACCGTCATAATTCGCGCTTCCGATGACCGTGACCGTGACCGACTAAAAAGTGCCGACTACGGGGAAAGGGCGGGAAAGCACCGACTTTTTCGCGGCCCTTTAAAACGTGCCAGACACTCGCCGCGTCGCCTGTGAGGGGGATCGGTCGGCTAGACCACCAGTGGCAACTCCCGTTCATAACACACGCACAAATAAAAACGCCTTTATCACCGAAATAATTAGAATCGGACACTTTGCCGCGCTCTAGCAGTGCCGGTCCGAACTTAATCGAGAACATTAATTCAGGCGTTGGAACGCAGTTCTAGTTCAGATCCCGGGCGTATTTTTTTTTTTTTCAAAACGCGTGTTTTCGCCTGCTCAATTTGATGGTGCTTTTGATGCCACGCCCAAACCTATTTTAAGTTCAACAATTTCGAAATGCTCCGAATTTTTCCGAAAATCGTGGATTTTAGTTCAAGATATCAACTGACGGTTTTGGATATTTATTTTTGCGTGAATTGTCGTTTTTTTTTCATTCTCGGTGAAATCTAAATTTACTTGTCGTACTTACTGTTCACCGTTATTGTTAACAAACCACGTAAAACATACCTACTTATAAAGTTATTTTATACGTTATACAGTCGCAACCGAAAGGTCTAACACAATTCTCGTAAATGAAATTGTTGACTGCCGTGTAGAAATCATAAAATTCAACGTCTTCAATCAAAACATTAACTGTAAATTTGCCATTGAGATGAGAAACTAATGGCAACGTTTTTCATTAAAAATAATAACGCGTACGGCATTTCGCTACGTTCCGTTTATTTCTTATCGCACGGTTTTTGGGAAGACTGACCATACTGACCTCTGTTTATGAGACGGTCGGCCGTAATTGTTTTGGCCAAAATGTGGTTCGGTTTATTTGTGCTCGATTTTTTTTTTTTTCTCTACGGTCAGTCGATAACGCCGCCGGGCGACTTTGCCTGTGAATAAAACGGACCGGACCCGGGCATAATCTAGGGGAGGGGTGCACATGCACCCTCTTGGATTTTCGCGGCGTGCATCATTTTGTACACCCGCCAATCGAAAATAAACCCCGATTTGCTATGCGAAACCGCGTCGAGTAGTATTTCATTTCGCGTGCAGTTAGCCAATATGTTTCCGAAAACGTCTCTTATCATATTTCGTACAAGTGATATTCACAGCTTATAAACGTGGATTGTGATAACCACGGTTTACGGTTAGGTCTTAAACCGCGGCCGTGCCACATGGTAGATTGATGGTGAAATGGTGTTTGGCGATATTGCGGGAATACGTGGGGTCGATTACGGCACCAATGTGTTATCTTTTTTTTTTTTTTCTGCTATCAGTGTTATTACATAATATGATAGTACCACCTACATTAAATATAATTATCATGAACCTTTGGTTCTAATTTTTTTATATGTTTAAATTTGTTATCATGGGCGCACATTCAGTCTTAAACTTAATTGCAAACGGATTTATATGCACTTAAAAACGGCAAAAAAGCGCTTAAATCGTTTAAAAAAAAAAACTTCAAAATATTTAAAAAACTAAGTGATAGAATGGTTTAAGTTTGAGGGACTTTTAAACCCCTCTATCTTTATTGCTCTTTTTAATATGTTTAAGTGATTTTTTAGGCCATTTTGAAAACCATTTTAAACCCATTAAACGCTGTTTATGGGTTTAAGTGCATATAAGTCTGTTCCCTAATGATCATGTATAGTCTTTGTGGGCCGTTTAACTGACTCTGACAAAAAATAATATTGAACAAAACGTGCCTGTATGGAAAATGAAAAATGTTGAGGTTTTTAGAGAAAAATGCTGAATCACAAAAGTAAAAATTAGTTTAGTGCTAAAAACATATAATTTTTGACAGTTTATAATTACAGTTTCTTTAAAAAAAACGGATTTTAAGCTTGATGTATATGTCATTTCCTAGATAATATCATTATCTTTATTATCCAAAAAATGGTTAACGTTAAATAAAATGTACTTATTTCTGAATAAAATCAATTTTTCGAAAATATATTATTAATTATTATGTACAAAAACGGTACATAGTTACACTACTTAACATCCTCTTAATACACCACCAAAAATCCATGTACACCTTTGAAATGTATTGTTAAAGATCTTTAATAATTATAATGAAAGCTTTCAAGCGATCGAAAAAAAAAAAAAGCTGTCTTTGTAGATAAAGAGGACAATCAACGAAAAAATGATTCTGAATGGAGAACAATTGATAGTGATGCTTTGTTAAAAACAAATTTCATTATGGTAAAATAATTAAATAGGCATTATAATATATTTTCTTTTAATATTTGTTAACTGTAAAGATTTTCCCGTTTGTTCACATTTGCTGGAAAATCAAAAAAATTACCTCCCTAAAGTACCTTCCCGGTCAGCTTTGTTTTAAGAAATAGTACAGTCATTGTAAATCGGAACAAAATTGTTGGTAGAAAAGTTGTTCACAAAAAATAATAATAATAACCATCTTTGTAAAACCATAAGCTACATCGCTCTACTCAGAATCTAAAAATAAAGCAAATGCTAGATTATTACATAGGAACTACAATGCTGATTTTTAACAATATTATTATTTTATTTCATCAAAATAAATTTTAAAAAAAAGTACATATCATCGTAACATTAAAGTTTAGAGAAGAAATGACATTGTATTAGAAATAATTATACATACCTACATTTGCTTGTATGCAATTTTCTTAAAATCACAAACTTTACTCTTTAATTATTAAACCTATTGGATTTCTCGGCGAATGTTTGATGTTCAAACCATGGCAAACTTGACTTTGTCCATGAAAAATTGATGAGGACTATCAAAAACTGAATATTGCACTGAATAAGGAATTAGGTTAAGACAAAAAAAATTAAACATTAATGACAATATTCTGTTTGTAGTTATTTTATTAATACATCAATTTTTTTTTTATTTTTTTTTTGTTTTTTTTTATTAATTTTCAAAACATTTAAATTTATGAACGTCACAATAGTACTATTTTACTTTGACAATTTTAAACTAAATTATAAATGTAAAATAAAAATTCCTATAGATTAGATTGGATATTCTATTAAATTGTGTTTTGAACAAAATCTTAATAAATGAATAATTACACAATGCAGCAAAAAAAGTATCATTATTCTACAATAGAAAAAAAAAAAAAAAAAATTCACTGTACGATATTAGCTTTATTTTCATAATATACCTACTTATGATTGATTAAACTAATAGCCATAAATAAGTTTTTATATTTTCCAAAAGTGGTTAGCCTACTCGAAAATCGGGGATAAATATAATATTGTTTTAATAAGTATAATAATAGCAGACCTCATAAGTTTTAAGCACATGAATATAAATATATTAAGGTCATATTAAACTAGAATTTAAAATATCTGAACTTCCCAAATTCAATCCCAAGTTTATTGCATTGCGTGTAAACTAATATCTCCATGTTATTTTTGTCTCATTATCGTATAATCAGCAAGAATATAATGTTAAAACGAATGATATATATATATTTAATTATAATTTTTTTTTTTCAGCAATATAATCTAAACATAATTTGGGCATAGAATATTTTATGTAAATAAGATATTATATTAACTATATTTCTTCGGTTATAATAATAAATGATATTTATTTGCTATAAATTTAATTCATTCATTCCCTGTAAGTGATATTAATTTAACTATTATTTTTTTTTTTTTTTTATTTTTTTGTAAGTTTACTAAGTAATAATAATGCATTACGAACCAAGATTATTTTTATATCATTTATACCAACTGATGTTTATAAACTGTTATTCTACAATATAATAAATATGTATTATTTTAATAACAACTAAAAATTAAAAAGTAATAATTTCACTAAATTAATTTTAACTTTTAAACTAGATTAAGTGAATAATTTGTGTGTAATATACATTAAACATACAATTTGAAAAAAATATTCCAGTAAATATAAGCCCAGAAACAATTATTTAGATTTCTATCAACATTATGTATATTAATTAATTCTGTAAATTGTTTAGTGATAATGCCAATATTATTTCAATCTAGATATGGTTTTAAAATGTAAAAATTTAATAAGTTTTAATATATTTTTTAAATTTGAACGGTTTGAAACAAAATAATGAAAAAGAAAAAATTCTAAAAAACCAATAGAAATAATAAAAAAATTCTTTCAATTTACTATAAGTATAATTTAATGTTTGGCTACAAAGGTTGTCATTAATTTCAGTGTGTTGATATCAATAAAATATTAATGTTTAAAATGGGTACAATAATCAGTATTATTACCCAATCTAAAAAAAATACAAAACTGATTTCAAATGGGTATCTAAATATCGCATAAGTTAAAAACTAACAAATGTGGAGTAATATCATATTATAGTTTGTAATTAAAACTTCTCATGTAAAATGTAAACTTTTAAATACTTGAACCATATGAAATTATTTAAATGAAATAATCCACTAGATACTCATAATAATTTACAAGTGGACAAAAAAAAACATGCATACATAAAATACGAACATACATTTTCTCTTTTTTCACTTTATAACTCTGTCTTTTTTTTTCTTTCTTTTAATTGGCCTAATATAAATTTGCCAAATTAATAATAAGTTAAAAACTTTTATCTCATATCCTAAAATATGATCCTATTTATTTTGTATATATATATATATAGATACACACATAATATAATGTATTACATAAACATATATAAAATAATTACCTAAAAAGATCTAACGATCTCCCAAGTGTTTTTTTTTTAATTTTTTTTTTTTTATATTTATATATATATATGTATATATATATATATATGCTATAAAGATTCCTTCAAACATGATTAACATATAGTTATTTTAAACTGTCAAGACAAATCAAAATAGAATATAAAACAAAAAAAATGTTCCCGTGGTTTTCGTGCTTTTATATTTCTTTGCAAAATTTAATAAAAACAGTTTTAAATAAATAACAACTTTAACAAAACAAATACACAAAAACAATATTAACTCGGCCTTCCATAATAATTTTATAAATTAAATTTACCATATCGGCAAAAAAAAAGAATGTATAATGTATACACACATATTATACATAGTTAAACTGGGGTACGCATCTTTTGGTTATATTATTTTATTCGTGTATTTATCGGCTTGTTGTGTACTATCTTGCCTTCCTACAACCGATACACAAAAGAGCGATATTCATTCAGTCATTAACCCCCTCAACACATTGCGAAATTCAAGATTGCTTACATGTTCCTAAAAGGTACTTTAAATGTTACCTGTGTGCAATAAATAAAAATAATAAAAATAATAATAATAATAATAATAATAATAATAATAAAAAAATTGTTAATGTAACATAACTCTAGGCGCTTTTTTATTAAAAATCAGGGCCGAAAACGGTTTTCGGACTGTTTTATTACAAAAAATAAATGTTTATTTTAATTTATACTAACAATGAAAAAACAAAACAGTGTGTATATATATATTATACAATGTATGTTGTCTGTCAAATAAATTTCGGGCGCCATATTTAAAAAAAATCGGGACCCGTTCTTTGATATCTTCTAACTGAACTGGACAAACTTATAATCAGGATTAATTGAAAGAAAATTTATTATACAATCAGCAATTTATTATGATTTCAAAGTATTAACTAACTTTTCTAAAAATATTCAAAACTTAAGTACCCATATTATTTATAGATTTTAAATATATTTTCTTTAATATTATGTTTTAATTTTGGCAATAAAATTGAAAAGTCGAGTAATTTTAAAAAACATTGTTTTCACCGAATGTTCTTAAACATAAAGAAATCCTAAAAAATTTGTCCAGTTCCTCACTTGGGAGTGGAGTACTTTGCTCATAGATATCAAACTTAATGATATCATGATTCTAATCGCATTAAGAATCAATATTCGGGTAGTTGACTGGTTTTATAATTTTAATTTATCTTTTTTTTATTAATACAAACCAAATAAATTAAATTGTTAGCTCGTAAGAGTTACTAATGGGCTATTAATGAATTAATGTCTTGACAGTTTAAAACACATTTAAAATATATATATTTAATATATTAATTTTTACAAGTTTCATTATCAATCAAAGCAAATTATTTAAATGGGATAATTTTTTTAATATAACCTAAGAAACCCCACGTGGTAGATTTGTATAGCCTTAGGTCTATCCATAAATAAGACATTAATGTATTAAATAATTTTTTTTTTTTTTTTAAATATATATATATATATATATATTTTTTATTTTATTTTTTTTTGAGAGGTTTTTAACCGTTTTGTTCTTTTTTTACTTTTTCTTTTAAATAGAAATGTTAACAAATAACTTATTAACCATAACTATATGTTTTAAGTCGTAATATGTAAATGAATATTAGTTTTTGTACCAAAGAAAAAATATGTATAACCTAACCTTAACAAGTCAATTATGAAATTGACAACACAAACAGTGCACAAGCAGAAAAAACATATTACAGTATTATTTAACTTGAAAATTCCCAAATCAATGATGCTTCATTCAAGTTCGGGAATTGCGGAACAGTTGACTACGATTATTGTTATCTATATCATCTGAACTTTCCGAACCACTGTCTGACTGCAAACTAAAAATAAATTAACTTAATATTGGAAGTAGGTACATTTTTCGTAAACTTTAATTTAATTCAATTTTAAAGTTTACGTTGTGTAGGTAGCAGCCGGTCCATTGCAAGTTGACGGTATGTACAAGTTTTGTTCTTGATAATCACAAACATCATTCCACAAAGCTGAATTATCCCATATATACTGCATACCCACAATAGAACGGAGCATATCAATCTCACGTGCACGTTGTGGATTAAAGAAGTCACTCAACAGATCTTGATTTTCGCTTGCCTGAGATGTATGCCAATTTTGGAATATCGGAAAGTGATATTGACGTCTAGCAGTACGTGTTACCAGCACACCATCATCATCCCAATCATCCGTTTGAGTACCTGAATTGAATTATTGATATTTTATTATCAAATATTAAATTAAATATTTTTTTAAATTTTAATCACCAAAAATAATTAACAAATATTTACCTTTATCCTGATTACAGACTTTATACAACAATCCATCATCAGTGCGCCTAAACTCATCTTTTCCTATGAACAATTTCCCTTCTATTTCAACAGCATTAAAAGCTTCATACGATAAATCAATTTCAAACTGTGAGCCATCTGGAAAAATTGCAGCACCAGCATCAACCAATTGATTGATTGGCTTGAATTTATCTTCTTTAACTGGACGCTGAATTACAGCCCATGACATTGGCTCTTTCTTTTCTTCAGTAATAAATTCTTTCCATGCAGTTTCTTCCTTAATATCCAATGGCAAAAAAGATTCAGGCCAGCTGTCATTGCCAGAATCATGAGCCCAAATATTTTTATCCGCATAAGTATTTTTTGAAAAATATGAAAAAGTTTTTGGAGAATCTTCAATACTGGAACCACGCCCTTCATCATTAAATAATGAATTAATTGGTGGCCCACCAAACAACTTGTACGTGTCACATTCTTGTTTTAAATATTTTTCAATTAAAAAGTTATTTTCATTGGGATCCATCATAAAACGTTGATAAGGTTCTTTTGGATGATAATCACTTTTGGGTACATTTCTTGCAGTTGGCAAAAAGGAATATGCAGGAGAAGTAGATTCAGGTTTTTCTATACACATTGAGTCCATAGTCCACTGAAGATCAGACAACTTTTTACAAAAACTGGGAAAGTTTTCTTTGGTTAAAAAATGAGTATGGGACATACTTTTGACTGGTTACTAAAACAACAAATTAATATAAATATCAAATATATAAATTAATAGGAAAATAATTGTTTCATAACTTACTAATTTCAGTTGCCAAATAAAATCAAATTGGATTAAAATGGATGATGGATGGAAGTATATGTAAGAAAATAAAATAACAGTAAGGTGTAAGTTTTATGGAATTTAAAATGGAAAAACAATTTTAAGAAGATATTTTATTGAACTGATGAGTCTGCTGTAAAGTATCCCATCTTCTTCAAGAAGGGATGGTTGTTCAATGAAACATTTTCTTGTTTTTTTTTTTTATTTTATTTTTTGGCTAGAATAAGAAATATACAAAATCAAAGTTTTATTTTTTCAAGACTGAAATATATTTCATTTACAGTATACATAATACAAATTTGTTTAATTTTTAATCAGAAATGTTCAAACAAATAGCAAGTGATTTGTAATATTTAATATATGTTAAACAATACATTAATTAAAAATACATGTTTATAAAAACATGCAAGCATGTTGAGAATTGCATTTTGTTAGCAATGATTTTGTCATTACTCATAAGATATACTCCAAATCTAAAACTTTATATATTCTACATTCCCACTATAATATGGACACACTCATCAGTAACAACTCTTCTTTCATTTAAATTTAATAATTTATTATCTAATGATTAAAAATATCTTATTATTTGTATTCTAGTTACCCATATAAAAATATTTGAATAACGTATACTGCCAAAATTTAAATGTTTAAACATTTTTTCAAATCTCCAAGATTTTAGAATATTCAGTAAATTCCACCACTTGAAAAAAATACCTAACCTACTCTACTCAATTGAGTATATTTTCTTTACTTAAATGTGTTTTCAAAAAAACAAAACAAAACTTTCATTGTCTATTCTGAATTTAATAATAATATAATTTATATTTAGATTGATAGGTGTATCTATCTATATATATGTACACATATATTTTTTTTTATTGTTACATTTTAACTAAAACTATGCAAATAAAACAATAATTTTTGACTTTATGTTAAAACCTAAGTATTATTAAATACTTACAAATATTACACTTATTTTAACATAAATTAAAATTTTATATTCTATAATTTAAATTCTATTTGTCATATTTTGACATTAATTGCTCAATGTTCAGGGTAAAATATTTTTAGTAGTTTACATGAACTAAATAATAACTTTAAAAACAATTTGAACTTTATACTGTGTTAACATTTTACTGTTTTAAAGGGAAATAAGTATGACAACAATTGATGCCAGATAGTATATTTTAGTATGCCAAAAACCCCAAAATATATTTGCACAAATGTTTTTTTTAGAAATTAAAAAGTTATCTGGCATACCTACATCAACTTAATTTAATTGTGTAAATACAATTACAATTATTTATTTTATCTGATTAGGTTTAAAGAGAAAGTATATTACTTAAAACTAATACTACTTTAATAGGATAGGGTACTTACGTTTAACAATTATGTTGTTACTGTTGTGAGCGCCAAATAGCGTTTATTAGTAAAATTTATTAGAATCCATTTTAACTAAATCGTTTTCTATGTCACCCTAATGATGAATACTCCGGAGGGTCAAGTAATGAATACTAAAAAATAATAAAATAATTTATTCAATTAATTTTTCTATCTTACTATAAATATATATGTCTCTACTATTATACCTACTACTTTAAAATAAAATTGTATTTATTTATTTATTATATTAGATAAAATTAATCTAAATATCAATTTAATGCAGCGGTTTCCAACCTTTTATTAAAGTGACCCAAAAATGTTAAAATTACTAAAAAAATATAATAATGATTGTATTAAATATATTAACTGAAATCATAATTTAGCTATAACAATTCATTTAACTACTATTAAGAGTTAATATATTAACTTCCTTGGTGCTAAACACTTTACACAAATCCTTCAATATTAAGATAAATGGTGTGTGAATGTGCATACCACATGATAACATTTGTTGGGGATCAAGGTAATTTCTGTATTCTGATTTAATGATGGTCAATGCAGAAAACCCAGGTTTACATAGGTACGTTGTTGGGAATGATAATCAAGCATTTTCAGATTGTTTTGAAAAAATAGGTTTGTCTTTAAGCTATGCTCAAAATTGAACGAGACATTTTGAGAAATATTTTCTTTTGAACTTAACTAGCTTAAAGATCGAGATTTCTTCTCGAAAACTGCAAATATGTTCAATACCTTGTAAATATAGGAACATGAAATAGATTTATCAGCCAATTGAATTTACCAAGTTCTACTTTTTGTGGTTCAAACTGTAATTTTTCCAAGTATTCTTGAAGACATTTTAAGTCATCTAATGTAATTTAAGATGAAAAAGTATAAAATAATATATATTATGTGAAACATATTTTCACAACTCGCCAAAAAAACCTAAAAAAAATTGACTGAGGATTGTTTTCACCAACACCAACTAAGGCGTAGTAACCAGCCATGATTTGTCAGTTATTTTATAAACTCAGTTTAAAAATCAACATTTATATTGCTGAAAACAGCTGTTAATTTATAAATTTAAATTATATTAAATCGGGTAAAGTGAAATCTAAAAATAGAAGTACATGTATGTCATTATTCATTTCCCATGCAATCTGTTAAAAGTTTAAATAACTGACTAACAAAATAGTAACCAATTAATCCTAAATTCTTAAAGGTATATTAAATATTTACTAATTTTAATATTTAGTTTAAACTTCAGAAATAATCTCAATCTCATAATAATTGAAGTACCTACCATTTGTTTAATGAATATAACAATAATAAGGTAGATGCCTAATAAAAATAAACTTAATTATAATTTACATTTCTGTTGGTAAACAAAAATAGAAGGCATAAAATAATTACTTCTTTACACTCACAACAGCAATAGAAATGAAAGAGCTCATTTTGGATATTTTATACATCTCTAATTCTATAAATATATTTAGGAATCTCATAAGGTGATAATTAATTAGGTACCTAATTAAGATCAAGTATAAATACTAAAAATTAATTTGGTTCACAATACAAAAATGCATAACTATGTACCTATCTATATGGTTGTATAACAGAGAAAGTAAAATGTAACTGAAGTCAACAGACTTTACAATAAATTATTATTTTTATTAACACTATATTTGTATTTGTTTATTTACTTATTTAAATCTAGGTCATATGATTCATCATTTGTTTAGATGTTGAAAATTAAAGGAAAAATTCCCAAATAAAAATTATCAATATTCTACTAAATTCTAAATAATAATTCCATGATAGATGCTTATTTGAAATATACACAGAAATTCTTATAATATAGTAGTGTATTATATGAGCATTTTAAATATATTACAATTTAAATCTTTGTTGATTACAGAAATAGATTGATAACAATTTATAAATACTTGAGTACCTATTTAAAATACAATTTAAATTAATTACACTAGATACCTACTTGAAGTACCTACCAGCTAGATATCTACATAATTCTTTGATTATTATTTATCAATTAGGTACCAAAAATTTGATAATGCAGGAACAATAATATGGACTGGATATTTAAATGAATAGCCCAGAGAATAATCATTATTAATGTTATTGTTATATACAATCTCAACCTATTTCAATTTGGAACTAATACAAACAAATTCGAAATAGGGAAATTAAAATTTGAAATATTATCTACTTTAACAAATATGTAATTATAGGAACTCAATTAGAATAATAATTTAATTGAACTTGGTACTCAAATGTGTATATACCTTGTTTAAAAAAAAATAAGGCAGCGGTATCCATATAGATTAGATAACAAAACTATTTGAGACTTTAGACAATAAAACGACAAATGACAAAACCAATCATATTTAAGTATCAGTAAATTATAATTAATTAGAATGGTAAAATAAAATATTAATCTTTTACTCCATCTTGTACTTTAAAAAATGTTAATGTGATACTAATGAAATTGTGTTTAAAAGATTATTATGCAACACATTTAATTACTATCAGTTGTTTCTAATTTGTTTATACAAAACAATAATTACAATGAATATAACAAATATTAATACCAAATAATAAAATGATACAAAAATACAGTAAGTACAAGTAGAATATTTATGGATATTAAGATTTAAACTGTATTTGTTTACAATAACAATACTATATTATGCACAGGTATAAGAAGTATAATACTTTAGAACTATTTAACATTAAAATCAATTATATTCAGTTTTCAATAAATATCCAAGTTTAGCGTATTAAAACAACAATAACATGTACCTACTAAAATTAAATCATTGCGACAATAAAAAATATTTAGACTTTTAAAGAATATCATGACAATAATGTAGGTGAAATGAAAAATATTAAAATAACATTTATCATAAAATACACCGAACTACCTATTATTGCATATTATATTTAATACCCACCGACATTTTAGTAGGTACTAAGTACCTAGCAATAAGAAAATATTCTTACAAGGTAGGGACATTTTAACTTTGAGTACCTACATATGCATGGGAATTAATACAAACGTAGATATGAAAAGCATAAACCCCTGACAATCAACCATCAAGTTTATGTGTGTGAGTATTCATCTTCGGTAGGTAATAATAATAATAATAACAATCTTCAGCGGGTTATTTCGTTCCTACCGTTTCAACAGGGTAGTGCGGGTTCCCAAAGACACCTTTAGTCGATCTACAAAGGCATCAGACATTCTGTTGGGCGGAATACGTAGGGATGTCACTGAGGGGGGAAGGAGTGGTGAGGGACGGCTAAAATGGCGCGAATCGATGATAACGGGCGGGTGGTGGCCATATTAGCCCGCGGCCCTCACGGAGAAGCGCGCGAGTTTGCCGCAGCCCCGCCAAAATGTCAGGTAGACGACCACACTCACACGCGCGCGCGTATATATATATAGTGGAAGTATAAGTGTGTGTGTGTATACATATATATATATATATATATATATACATACATACACACACACACACTTACCTACGTATCAGTTAGTTAAAATATCTACGTAGTTATAACATACCGAAAACGACGTAGGTATAACGCTTAAAATTGTATGCGTGTATTAGATTATATTTTACACCCAGACTCACCTAAGGAGTGAAGTTTTTTAGAATGAGCGATGCGATGGCGACGGTGACACAGCGTACAGGTCCGGTCCGTCCTCGGGATGGGATTTATTGTTGAATAGTTGTTGCTGTTGATGTGTAGGAAAGTCGCTCACGTCCAGAGAACGCGAAACGCGGCGGTAAAACGGAAATGTAAAAACCAAAAATGAAAAGTTCACTATTAAAAAATGTTTTAAAAAAAAAAGTCCAGTCGAAACGACGACCCAGAATACAACGAACGGGCCCACTGAAGGACGAGGCCACAGTGTTGTAGTTGTTTTCGATACTACGTACAGTGCGAAACGAATGCGCGCGACGCCCGGGGCGGACGGGAGGAGGGCTCGGATTCCTTAACCCGCGGTCCAAAGTGACAGTGCCGCCAACGGTTGGCCACCGACGACATATTGGAGGGAAATCCGTCCAGTCGACCACGCGCGCGAAAAAAAAAGTTAAACATCACTACGCGATCTACAACTACGCAGCAGAAGCAACGACGGCCACGTTTGTTTTTCTTCCTATTTTACAATAATAACGTGTGTGTACAGGGTGTCCTAGTCTTCAAGCACATTGACCCAACACTTGTAAACACTGTGTAAAATAAAACACCATTTTGTTTTTCAAACTAAAAATCCTAAACCAAAAGACCCAAATAATACCAATCACGTACTTTATTACGCTTTACCCTCCGAGTCGCATTGAGAAAAAAAACATAAAAAGGCGGTTAACTTCCGCGATAAATATTTTCTATTACGGTTGAATGTTACCGTTGACCTAAAAATTCCTCAACGGCATATGATAATAATATTGTGCCGCGTTTTTTTTTTTTTTTTTTTTTTTTTTAAAGCCCAAACGCGCGTGGTGGCGGTCACAAATAACAGTAATAATAATAATATAGTGTAAATGCATTTTGCAATTGTAATTGTATTTTATAATTGTATTTTGTGCGCCTATTAAATTTGGAAATGAAAAATGATTATTTGTTTGCTTTCTAAATACCGCCCGTAACGGCCGACATTTTAATGGCCAACTGCGAATACAGAAATATTATAATATTACGTACTGCGCATTAGCGGTCGCCAGACGGCCGATAACGCGCGGCTGGAAAGAGACGGACGGGAGGGTCGAAAAACAATGAGCGTTATCGATTATTTACGGGGCGAGCCACCGGGATAGGAAACACGTGAAAACGACCACGCCGCCTCCAACTTTGGTACACCTTGTACAAAAATGTACCGATATATTATTGACGCGCCGTCGCGGAAGATGTCGTCCGCCCCGTCCGCGTATCCGCGACGGGCGGCGGCGGTCAGTGTCCGCGAGGTGAAACGACGACGTCAATGAAATCGCACGAGGCAGCGGCGGCGGCGGCGGCGGCGGCGGCGGTTGCTGGCCGTTTGCCACTACTATAATAATAAATTACGTACACCGCCGCCGCCCTAATAATAATAATAACTCGTACCTATACGACCGGGAATAAAGCGGAGGCGCGCGTCCGCGTCGCCGTCCGTTATCACGTCATGCGCGGCGCGCGCGTTACGATTTCCGCAGACGACTCGATTATTAGAAAGTCTACTGCAGCACTGCCACCGCCGGCCGACGCGTATTTTACTGATTATTTCGTTAGATCCCGAGCGAACAACCGAGCAATGCCCTGCTGGTGGCGTGTTACGGGAACGTTAATTTCAATTTTCCCACGGGGATGCAAACGTATTTTGAATCTGGCCGATTTTTCCGTTCGTTTCGCGCGCTTACGTTCCTCTTATTCACGCGTTACGTTTTAACATACAAACACCTACTGGGTGTGTTGACATTACGGCAAAACGGATATTAAACTACGGCCACAGACCACAGTATATTTTTTCATGAAATACAACATTATAATACCATGGTTCATTCCACGCATAGACCTCATACTAAGTATATCTAGTACATCCAAGTACATCTATACTAGGTCTATGATTCCGCGTGAAGTCAATTTTGACGCACACTTATTTAGTCATGTTAACAATTAACGGTTGACAAGGTCGTAGCTTGAAAAAATTTTCTGGAAGGGGAGGAGGGGTTAAATCAAATAATATACTTCCATAGCAGTTAAAACAAAACAAAAAAAAGCTGTCAGTTAAAACAAAACAAAAAAAAGCTGTTCTAGGATAATGGAAACAGGTGCAGCCGCTGTTGTAGATAATTTAATGTGTATTTAATTATAAAAACTATTCTGAACGGAGTTCGGTTGAGAGTGTTGCTTTGTCAACAGTATATAAGTCATACGAGTATATAAGTTAACTCGTATTATGGTAAAATAATTGCATGTGCATTATACATTTTCTTTAATAATACTAGTTTAATATTATACCAATTCTCCAGTTTTTCCAACGTTTTTCCCGATTTTTCCCATTTATTAAATAAACGTCCCGAGGAAAATCAAAAAAATTACCTCTTTAAAGTACCGCCCAGAGAACATTTCCTTTCAGAAAAAGTGCTATACTTGATAATCGAAGTATACTTTCTAGTAGAAAAAGCGTTCACATAAAAAATTAAAAAAAAATGAAAATAAATATCATTGTAAAACGAATACATTCCTCGCTCCATTCAGAATCTAAAATTAAATACATAGAAAAAAAAAGAATTATACAAATTGGTTGTTTCACATAGAAATAATTTATTTTAATAGGAAAGATTATTTAAAATGGGTTATTATTAGACATAGGTTAAGAAATATACATTATTTGATTATTATTTATTATATATTATCTAAAATGTATTGATATAAGATTATATTATTATCTATGTCTAATAATAACCCATTTTAAATAATCTCTATTAAAATAAATTATTTCTATGTGAAACGACCAATTTATACAGTTTTTTTTTCTATGTATTCCTTCGTTTAATTTTTTCATATTCAGTTGCGTTTTACATTTTGACTGTGATATACCTGATGGTGAATTTTTAATTCGAAACCGGTCGTATCACTTATCATAATACTCTAAGCGACGCATTCGTTGGTTTCTCTGTTTTTATACATACATTTTTTATTTACATATTTATTATTTATTTACGAGTATTAAACATTTTAATTATTTTATTATATTTTATAGCACAAAATCTAGTAGTCCTTTTTTTCTTTAGCCAAACGATCAATACATCATCCAGATAGATTTTAATTTACCTGTGCACACTCAAAAGAGCTAAACCCGTAAGACGTTTTTGGCCTGATGAGTTACATAAATAATTTATTCATTTTTTCATGGTTGAAAAGGTGCGTTCTGGCGTTGAGGTCGAAACTGGCAATGTAGCTAATAGTTTCAAAATAAAAGATACGTTTGGAAAACATTCAGAATTACATTTAATGTACTCGTATGCTTCAATAGGCGAATTTGGACAGTTTTTTCTGGTTTGTTAGTCAATTTTATTTTTCCACAGTGAATTTCTCTTGGCAGTATTTCTAAATCCAGAAATTTATAATTAATTTCAAAGTCGTTTGTCTCTATTTTAAATTTGTTGCAGTTAAGAAATTAAATTTATTAATATTATATTATATTGTAGAAAACGCCATCAGACTTTGAATTAGTTCCATTTTAATAAAATATTTAACAATATAAGGGGGGGAGAGTGCCTCTCCATTTGGGAAACACTTATCTAAGAGAACAAGACGCTCAACAGCAAACAATTACCAAATTATTAACGTTGAGAGTTCAAATAACTTAGTTTTTCGAAGTCGATTTAAGAGTCCATCAAGTTAAAAATGTTTTAAAATTTATCGTTTTAATGGTTTTTTTACGTGAATATTAAAATGAAAATGAAAATAATATAATAATACTAACATTTTTATTTTTATTGATAAAATAATTGTGTATATAAATATATTTCAGAAGATTAGATAACCATAAAGCCATAAAATATACTCGATAACAATATTATTATAATACCAAATAATATTTGTAATACAAAAAATAATAATAATTGTTGGTAAGAAAAATACGGGCTGCAACGGCAGCAACCCGATTCTGGAAATTGAAAAAAAAAAAGAAATCTAAAAATAACTTGAAAATTAAATTAACATATAAATATAGTGATATATTATAGTATAGTTTTGTACAATAATGTTGTAGCTATCTGCACAGCTAATATTATGATATGCTGTTTAAATCCGTGGACTTAATTATGAACTTGCATCGACCAGTCTTTTACGTTGTTTGATATCTTCATCAAATCGATTATTTTTTGATAAAAATGGAAAATCTGTAAAAGAGCGAACTGAAAATATAATATCCTAAAACGGTATTAAGCATATAAATATGATGATGAAAAAGTAAAGATGATTTTATAAATTAAAATATAATATTTTAAAGTTTATTTATTATTTTATTTCTACTTTATTTATAGGTTAAATTTTAAAATCCACCAAAAAGGCAAACGATGTCACCATTTTTTTTTATGATTTGATATCAAGTTTTGAGATTGTGGTTCTATACCTATAATGTAAGGCTTAATTAAATCAAATGCGTAGTTGACAAGAATCCTTAAAATAAGCCCCGAGATAAAATATCGGAACGGTAAAAATTGTTTGCAAATTTATACGGTTGTGCGTACAAATAAATAGCACTAACATTTTTGTTGAACATATTGTAAGTATCTAAAATGAAAAAAATATCAAACGGAAATATTTCGCACGGCGGGTTAGCCACTATTGTAGGTGAGCCGTTGGGAAGGTAGAGGAGAAATTTAACCTGTACGCATCGATTAATCTTTGATAAGATTCTGAGCGGAGTTCGGTTAAACATGTTTTAAAAGGCCGTAATATTTACAATTTTAAAATACATAATACATTTCGTACATTTTCACGTTTTTCCTACGTTTTTTCCCCGGTATTTCCCGTTCATTATAAAACCCTTAGGAAAATTAGAAAACGACTTCAGGACCCTCAGTCAAATTTTATTTTAGAAAAAATGCTACGCTCGAAAATCGGAGCGAAATTTCCTGTAAACAAATTGTTCACGTTAAAAAAAAAATACAAATTAAACATCATTGTTTGTAAAACCAATACATTCTTCGCTACGCCAGAATCTAAAATATATTGGTATCGATCATGTTTAAAATATAGAACCCTTTATTTCATACGTTTTATGCGTGTAACACGTATTATTAAATTTATATGTATAAAATACCAAACTACTACTAAATTATATTTAAACAACTAATGTTTTACATTTGTATTTTTTATCACGTGTCATGGCTTTTCTTAGAAAAACAACATTTGAACATGAAACCTATCGAAATACCATATACATTATACATTATAATGATTAGCGATTAAATAATATTTACTTAGTATTAATATTATATTATAGTAGTATTCAACTTATTATTTATTCAAAATCCATTTTTTTTTTTTTTTTTTTTACTTGATACATGTGCATTATTAGTATCGGTTATTCGGTTTAATAGGTAGTGGGAAAAATATAAATTTGGAACTATCAAAGTGTAATAACAGATTATCTATTTTTTGAGTATCAAACTATTCGTTCTTGTCCCTTTTTGAACTTATTCTGGCCCACTGTGACCATTTTTTCAAAGTTCCTACATATCAAATTTGAATCAACAACAATTATTCATGTTTTGTTGCAATATTATCAAAAACCCTTTATCAAACGAATTTCGGGATAAAAAGTATTCAATGCGCTAATCTAGAACATATTATATATGTGTGTTGAATTGCATCTATTAATTATTTATAACACAAGTATGCACAGTGTTGGCATCGTTCCCAGGGGCGCAACTATAAAAAAATTGAGGGTGCTGAAGCCCCCTAGAAAAAAAGTAGTTCATACACACAAAGGATCTATAAACTATAAGTGTCACTCAATCTTTTCTATTCTACTACACCAACTAACCATTAGCTGTACCATTGGTTAAATTTAAAAACAAGTAACAGATTTAAAACACAACCTTTTTAATTTTGATGGTTAGAGATTTACTAATAATTACAATGAAATTGGATAAAAAATGGTAAACATAAAAAATTGAACTACACCATGCAATTTGGAAGATCCTCTTTATAAAGTATATGTATTATGTACAGTAAAAGAATATTAAATTATAAAGTTACAGATTGTTTAAGTTTATAGGAGAAGCGAATACAAACACAAAATGCCTGTGTTAAATCCGTTGCTTCGTCGTTCATCAAAACTAAATTACCGCCCTCCCGTGTGCTTTGCTATACTTATACTTTAGTTTCACGTTTTACAGAATGCACTCGAAACGGGCCCATAATAATTTATTTTACCACCAGTGTTGTTTGTGCGAATGTATTTATCTTTGTAACGGTTAATATATAAATATTTATGTGTTCGGGCGCATTAAAAACGTTTTTTAAAATACACGCGAGTATAGAAGTATTGACAATTAATACAACGACGGTACACAATTTCAAAGTGATTTTCAAATCGATAAAAAAGTAGTACAATTTGATTTAAAATACTTGGTTTCATATTTTATTGACTGATTTTAAATTATTTTTGTTCGTTCTACCTAAAGAACGTAGCTTTTTTTAAATGTACGTATAAGGAGTACGAGACACGTTGAAATTGGACGAAAAAAGGTTGGACGTTTCGGAAAAACACAAATGATGGATGGATAACTTACCGACTGGTAAAAAAAAAAAATTGATAGTGGTACAAGTATAATTCGTGACACGTGACACATAATAAAGAAATCCCAGCGCTCCGGATTTCGACGGAGCGCTGGGAAGGTTTAAGTGCCATTTACCTGACGACCTGTCGGCGACGGGAATAACGGCCGGCGCCGTGGTGCTATTCGCAGTAGACGGAACCGCCGGTCGACGTCGTTGAAATTGGTCCCCGTAGTTCAGACGTCGGTCGTGAGCCCGCGACAGGTGACGAACCGATCGAAGGCACCGAGGAACGCTGCCGTTGATAGGACTGGACACTAATCGCAAATAGACTGCCTTGGCGTTTAGGCACACAGGCACGGCGACAGTTTTGTACGACCGTGCCTTTCGTGATCGGTGTTCCAGCATCGTGACGGGCTCTGCGTAGTTGATTCTAACGTGCGTTAACGGGCGGCATTGGAGCGCCCGTTCTTCCGGCGAATGGGCTACGACTGCGTGCGTTAATTGCACTCGCGGAGTCGCGCGTAGCAGGAGAAATGGATAATTACCGAATACACTACATGTTACTAACCCAACGAACAACAAGACGACCCGAAAAAAAAAATACGTAGACAACACCGACTTATGAAGAAGAATGGAAAATCTACGATCGACAAGCAGAAACACAACAAAATAAAAGTCAAACTGAACGAAGATTGGTATACTTAGAGAAAATTGAAATATACATATTAACTTAAATTTTATTAGTGATTCGATAAACCGAGGATATACCGAATCTAATTATTCAAATCGAAATAATTGTGTCGGTATTCATCAGTTGTTAGTGTGACCAACTTCTGATGGTAAATGGAATATTTGGTGCTGAAATTGGGTGCCCGCCCATTGTTGGTGCGGCTCACCATTGATGGTAAGTGGAAAATTCGGAGGTGCATACGGTAACCTTGTATGTAGAGGTACATTTCCTATTGGCTGAAATACACCTAAGGGAACTTGGTGATTAAAAGAAATCGGAAATTGTTGACCGAAAGTGGCAGGATTGGGTACGTGGTTTGAGATTCTAATAGGTGATCGGTTTCTGGTAGTGTGATGTGGATGTGTATTACCAGTACCGGTATTCCAAGATGAGGGTTCGTTGAAAGTTGCTTTTTTGGGAGGAGGTGGTATGCGTTTTAAGATACTGATGAGCGACTTTTCTTTAGCAATAACTGTTTTCGTGCTGTTAGTTTCGGGAAGCGGTTTGTGATAGATGGCTACATTTGGTGGACATCTTATTTTTTGTGTTGCGTTGAAACCTGCGGTCGGTATGTCATCGATAGCAGTATCCGGAAGCGGTTTGTGATAGA